AGGTGAGATAGGGGTAAATAAGAGAGTGATAAAGGACTGTGGAACATAGTACCGTATCTTCGATAGTATGCCTACAGTCTTGGAAATTTTCTTAGAAATTTGTTGTATATGTGTATGAAATTTGAGTCTATTATCGAGGTGGATTCCTAAGAATTTTCCCTCTGTTAGCTTTGTGATAGGTGATCCGTTTATCGTTATGTTAAGAGGTACATCTGTAGCTCTGCTACCAAACTGAATGAAGTAGGTTTTGTCAATGTTTAGTGTAAGTTTGTTAGTCCTCATCCAGGTAGATATTTTCTGTAATTCGGTGTTTACAGTATTGGCTAGCGTGACTGGGCTCGGGTGAGAGAAGACGTATGTGGTGTCATCTGCAAAAAGTGTGGGTTTGAGTAATTGCGAAGCATTTGGTAGGTCATTTATGTATAGGAGAAAGAGAAGAGGGCCAAGGACACTTCCCTGTGGGACACCAACTGTAATTGGTTGTGCGGAAGAGCTTGCCCATTTGCGTACACATATTGGCTTCTGTTGCTGAGGTAAGACTTGAGGTAGTTGAGGGAGTGCCCTCTAATACCATAGTGTGACAATTTTACGTGGAGCAAGTCATGGTCAACTGTATCAAAAGCTTTACGTAAGTCAATGAAGATCCCCAGTGGGACTTCTTTTTTCTCTGTTGCAGTGTATATATGTTCTAGCATGTGTATAATAGCATCATTAGTATTTTTATTAGGCCTGAATCCAAATTGGCAGGGGTTGAGAATGTTATGGGAGATGAGGTAGGAGTGGATTCGTTTATGAATTAATTTTTTGAAGATTTTTGAGAGAGGGTGTAAATTGGATATTGGCCTATAGTTATTCAACTCTGTTTGGTCTCCTCCTTTATGGATCGGGGTGACCCTTGCTATTTTGAGAACTGTAGGGAAGGTGGAGGATTCAATGGATTTGTTAAAGAGTGTTGCAATGATTGGTGATAGTACTTGTGACGCTTTTTTGTATATAAAGGGTGGTAAGGTATTTAAATCTCCTGCCTTGTTTTTCAGTGCGTTGATAATAAGGGAGACTTCGTATGGGTTAGTCGGAGCTAGGAACAGTGTGTTCGGGTAGTTGCCAGTGAGGTAGTCATTTGGTGGGGTATCTGAGCTTGGGATATTATTGGCAAGGTTTTGACCTATAGTGGAGAAGAAATCATTGAGTCTGTTTGCTGTTTCTGTTGGTGGGAGTTGGGGTTCATCTGATTTTGCTAATTTTATTTCGCTATGTCGTGATATCTTTTTTGTTCCCAGAATTTCTGATAGGGTCTTCCAGGTCTTTTTTATATCACCTCGTAAGTTGGATAATCTGTTCTCATAATACAATTTTTTTGCCCTTCTTATCAGGCTGGTTAGGATTGACGAGTAACGTTTTGTTTGGTCTCTGGTTATGTGACCCATTCTGTACTGTTTTTCATATCGGTGTTTTGTATTTATGGATTTGAGAATACTGGGTGTTAGCCAGGGACTGTTCAGTCTCTTAGCTGACATCTGTTTAGTTTTTTTAGGGCAGTGCTTGTTATAAAGGTATTGGGTCTTTTTTAGAAAATTATTAAAACATTCGTCAATATCTGTATAGATTTCTAGCTCAGTGTGCCAGTCAATGTTTGTTACTGCTGTTGTGAAGTTATTAATGGCTGCCTCATTGTGAAGTCTGAAGGTGACTTTAGTAGTGTCTTGGGGTATTTTACCAAGAGTTGTTATGAGGAAAGTAGGGTAGTGGTCTGTGGTATTATCTGTAATTATGCTTTTACAAATGCTGTGTTATTATATCTTTACCATTTTTACAATAATGCAGTAGTCTGCATAACAGTAAATCTTCTATTTGTTGTGTGAATAAAAATTCAAAATGGAAAGCAAGTGTAATATAAGAGGGGCCCAAAGTGAGAGGAGCTGTAGGAGAGAGAGGGAGAGGCCAGCAGAAGGAGCATTCAGTATCTGATAAGTTGTCTTGATAGCTGGATACTAGTTTTGGTGCGAATACGTTTTGTAAATACACTAACATAAGTAATAAAGGTTATCTCTCTATCACATTTATTCCAACTTGATATAAGAAACATGATAAATAACCTAGAAACACAACAAAGATGCCAGAATTAATAGTCATTGTTTGGAGAGGTGGAAGCATTGTTTACATCAGGGCAAATACGCTTAGATCACGTTTATCTTAGCAAAAGGCTCAAAAATAGTGCGATTTTTCCCTGATACAGTGGTACCTCAGGATACGAACAGCTCAAATTGCGAACAATTATGCAAGTGTATTTATGTAAGTGCTTTTGCACTTTTATTTTTGGGGGTCTGAAACGGATTAATCTAATTTACATTATTCCTTATGGGAACAAATTCGTTCGGTATCGGCACTCGAACAGCCTTCTGGAACGAAATAAATTCGTATCCTGAGGTACCACTGTATTTTTTCCTGGGTCCTATGCTATGCGTGCGTTTTCCTGGATTATCTCAGAAGTAAGATATTGACCTATTTCTTGATGTGGCACTGTTAACCCTTTCAGGGTTTCCGATGTATTAGTACAGCTTACACACCAGGGTTATTGACATATTAGAACGCCTAAATTCTAGCGCCTTCAAATCTAGCGAGAGAAAGCTGGTAGGCCTACATATGAAAGAATGGGTCTATGTGGTCAGTGTGCGCAGTATAAAAAATCCTGCAGCACACAGTGCGTAATGAGAAAAAAAAACTTTGACCGTATTTTTGGATTAAAACAGCGACTTTGCACTGTATTTTTGTATGGTATTTATGGTTGTATTCTAGTTTTCCTGGTCTCATTTTATAGAATGGAAGACATATTACAGAAATTGAGATGATTTTGATGGGTTTCACAAAGAAAAGTACCTTGAAATTGAGCTCAAATTAGCAGAAATGTCCGATTTTTACCAAAGTTCAAAAGTATACAAATCATGCCAAGCGTCCAGTACACATCAACTGTTGAGTCTAATATTCTTTCACAAGTGTGCTGATATTATTTATACCATTTCTACACTAATGCAGTTGTCTGCATAACAGTAAATCTCCTATTTTATGTGAGAATAAAAATTCAAAGTGGAAAGGAAAAGAAATGTAAGAGGGGCCCTGGGGACGTGACTAACGAACAGAGGAAATGTTATTTTAGTGCCAGGAATGTCTTTCTTGTTTATTCTGGATCCTATTTGGAAATTGGCATCTTCTGAAATTTGTGTGAAATTGGCAAAATTGCCAATTTCTAACCACTTTATTGGATAGTTGAAATTGGTAAATGGGTGGTTTCTTGTACTCATTCGATAGAAAAAATGGAGTTCTAGTGAAATAAATATGATTATTGTTGATTAGTACACAGGAATGGGCGAAATCGCCAATGCGTAAACATCGTCAAGACCGCTAACTTCGCGAGAGCATAATTCCATAAGTTTTCCATCAAATTTCATACTTTTGGTGTCATTATGATCAGGAAAAGATTTTCTATCATTTCACAAGAAAGAATAATTTTTTTTTTTTTCCGAAAAATTTTCAACCCTGAGAACGAGTTTAAGAGAGGGCCTCTCGACCCTGAAAGGGTTAATAATGAATGGATTGAAATGAATGTTTTACACAGGTCGCAAGATCAGACACGCAGGCACTACTCTTATATTTTGCTATGAGTTTTTTTTCATCTCTGTTGTGACTCTAACCTATTTTGTTTTTGATTGGCTGTTATCAGTAATTGTCTTAGGCCCCATGGTGACTTATTTACACAAATAATAGAAAAAATAAAATCCAAAGAGACACGAAATAGTTTACAGTAAATTTCAGCGGAGTTTTGCACTGAGCGACAGCTGTGGGGAGACTGACACATGTTCTGGCAGGTCGTGTTTGTTTGGTTAAGTGCTGAGCAAGCGGTCAACTTCCGAGCAATTTTTTTTTTACTGAACAAAGTGTTCGAGCATCGAATTGTTCGAGTAGGGAGCTGTTCAAGTACCGAGGTTTCATTGTATATCATAGTGTCAACACTTTTATATGGGTGTGAAGCATGGGCTTTAAATGTTGCAGGAAAGAGGAGGCTAGAGGTAGTGGAGATGTCATGTTTGAGAGCAATGTGCGGTGTGAATATTATTCAGAGAAGTTGGAACATGTTAATAAAGTCAGAGTGGGGTTACCAAAGGTATGATTTAGAAGGCTGAGGTGGTGGTGTTGAAGTTGTGTAGGCATTTAGAGAGAATGGAGTTAGAGATAAAGTTTTGTTCAGATTTTTAACCCCTTGAGGGTTAGCCACCCAGGATAACCCAAGAAAGGCAGTGCATCATCGAGGGACTTCCGTCTTATTTCCATTGGGATCCTCAAGCTTGTCCCCCAGGATGCGACCTGCACCTGTCACCTAATACCCAGGTACCTACTTCCTTGCTGGGTGAATGGGACAACAGGTGTAAGGAAATGCACCCAATGTTTCCACCCTTGCCGGGGATTGAACTTTGGACACTCGGTGTGTGAAGCGAGTGTTGCCTACCAGGCCACAGGCCACCTTTAAGGGGACAGGATGATCAAGAGGGTGAGGAAAGGAAGGGTAGGGGTCAATCCAAGAAGGGTTGGAGGGAGGGAAGGGGGTAAAGAAGGTTTTGAGTGCTAGGGTTTTGAGCATCCAACAGGCATGTGTGAGTTTGTTTGAGCGAATAGAGATAAATGGTTTTTATGACTTGATGTGCTGTTAATGTGAGAGCAAGGTAACATTTATGAAGGAATTCATATGAGTCCTAGAGGAGGGAAATACAACATTTGCATTCTGAAAGAAGGGTGGGGATGCTCCAGTTCAGAGGGTTATTTGAATTGTGATGTTTGCACAATTCTGTCAAGGCAGCTATTGAATGAGTGTTTGCAATTTTTGTTCTGTTCTTGGGTCACCCTATACCTTGGTGAGAGAGAACTTATGTGTTAAAAAAATGTTAACATTTATGAATGACAAAGTAGAATTCTGAATGCATTCAAACTTATATGTTATATTTTGATAGATCATCTACGTAACCACTTGATGCAAGGGGAGGAAGTTGATGAAGAAACTGTGGAGGTGCGATCTCTTCCACTTCAGCTTACGCGACTCCTTCAGCCCATCCTCGTACCTGTTCCAAAATCCCTAAGGGTAGGTTTGAAGTGTAATAATAGATGCAATAGTTAAAAAAAGGCACCTGCATTAAATTGTACTGTATATTGTTGGCTTTACGATTTTAATTGATGCAGTAATTTCATTTGTGAGTGACAGACATGCAAGACATTTACAGTGGAACCCTGGTTTTTGTCTTTAATCCGTTCCAGAAGGTCAGCCGAAAACCAATTTGTACGAAAACTGAAGTAATATTTCCCAAAAGAAATAATGTAAATACAATTAATCTGTTCCAGACACCCAAAAATATTAACAAAAAATAAATTTTATAGAAAATAACTTTAGTGTTGCAGCTCTTCAGTAGTTAGCTCTTCTGTGTAGTCATCCACCAACTTTTCCACATCCTGGCCACTCACATCCAACCCCATGAACTTCCCCAAAGCCACAATAGATTCCACAACAGGCATAGGGTTTTCAAGTTTACACTAACTTAAATTAAGTTAGTAATAGAACTAGACATTAAAAAACACAATAAAAAGTAAAATACATACACAGTACAGTGGACCCCCGCATAGCGAACGCCTTGCATAGCGAACATTCCGCATAGCGAACGCTTTGATCGCTAAAATTTTGCCCCGCATAGTAGACAAAAACCCGCTCAGCGAACTTCGTCCGAGACGCGTCCAATGTGCGGCCTCAGCCAGCCTCACATGTGCCGCCTGTCCCATTGTTTACCAGCTAGCCTCCGCGGTAACATTCAAGCATACACTCGGAATATTTCGTATTATTACAGTGTTTTCGGTTCTGTTTGTTGAAAATAAGTGACCATGGGCCCCAAGAAAGCTTCTAGTGCCAACCCTGTGGTAAAAAGGGTGAGAATTAGTATGGAAATTAAGAAAGATTTTGAAGGGTTTGGGGCTAACCCTGAGAAGCCTATGCCAGTTGTGGAATCCATTGTGCCTACTTCAAAAATTAAGGAAATGTGTGCACAGTGGTTGAACTGCAAACCTTTATGGATGAAAATCACCCTGACACAGCTGTTGCAAGGCGTGCTGGTGACTATTTCAATGACAATGTTATGGCCCATTTTAGACAAATCGTAAAGGAACGGGAGGTACAGAGCTCTATGGACAGAAAGAAGTCCAGTGACTCTGAAGCTGGTCCTAGTGGCATTAAAAGAAGAAGGGAAGTAACCCCGGAAAAGGACTTGCCTCCTCAAGTGTTAATGGAAGGGGATTCCCCTTCTAAACACTAACACTCTCTCTCCCCTCCTCCCATCCCATCAATCATCACCAGATCTTCAATAAAAGTAAGTGTCATGTAATTGTGCATGCCTTTTTCAGTTTGTGTGTACTAAAATTAACATTTTTTTGTGGTAAAAAAAATTTTTTTTCATACTTTTGGGTGTCTTGCATGGATTAATTTTATTTCCATTATTTCTTATGGGGAAAATTAATTCGCATAGCGAACATTTCGCATAACGACCAGCCCTCTTGCACGGATTAAGTTCGCTATGCGGGGGTCCACTGTACATTCATTACTTACCTTAAAATATTTGTAGTCTTAATGTAGGGCAAGAGGTGAGTAGTACTAATTTGTAGGAAGTCAGGTGTTGGTAGCCGGTAGATGTAGCCCACCTGGGCTACATATCTACACCTACCTACATAGCTACACGATATTTAATGAGGCCCAGAGCTATATTATTACCATCGACATACCACGTTCACTGAGTTTAATCGTTTCTGACAACTACCTTTAGATACCATCATAAACAAAGGGTGAAGTAATGAATAATTCATGTCAAGAATTGTAAACAAAAGCATTATGTATTAACCCTTTCAGGGTCCGTCCCGTAGATCTACGGCTTTACGTTCAGGGTCCAAACCGTAGATCTACGCCATGAGCTCAGCTCACTCTGATAAACTGTGAGTGGTACATTTGGGCCTAGATATGAGAGAATACATCTATGTGGTATGTGTGCACCACATAAAACAGATCCTGCAGCACACTGTGTATAATGAGAGAAAAAAATGAAATCATGATTTTTCGATTAAAACAGCAACTTTGCAGTGTTTTTTCGTATGTTTTTTATAGTTGTATTTGCGATTTCTTGGTCTCATTTGATAGAATGGAAGACATATTACAGAAATAGAGATGATTTTGATTGGTTTTAGCACTGGAAATGGCTTGAAACTGAGCTCAAAGTAGCAGAAATGTTAAATTTTTGCCGATATTCAAGAGTAAACAAACGACCTCACACGTCTAATACACGTCAGCTGGTGGGTCTAATATACATTCACAAATATGGTGATGATATTTATACAATTATTACAGTATTGCATAACAGTAAATCTTCTATTTTTGGTGTGAATAAAAATTCATTATGTGAATAAAAAATCAAAATGGAATTTATTTGTAAAGCCTCAAAACATAACTAATGAACAGAGGAAATGTTAGTTTAGTGCCAGGAATGCCTACATTGTTCATTCTGGACCCTATTTTGAAATTGGAATATTTTGAACTTTGTGTTAAATTGGCCAAATTAACAATTTCCGATCACTTTATTTTGTAGTTGAAACAGTTGACTTGGCGATTTCTTGTGCTCAATCGATAAAATAGAAGTAATACTAGTGAAATAGCTAAGAATTTGGTTGATTGGAATAATGTAATTCGCCTAAAATGGGAGTCAAAGTCAGCAAAATCGCCGATTCGTAAATATCGCTGACACATCAAAATTCGCGAGAGCATAATTTCGTCAATTTTCCACCAAATTTCGTACTTTTTGTTTTATTACCTTCACAAAAAGATTCTCTACGATTTCATAAGAAAAAATAACAAATTTTTTTTTTGAAAATTCTTGGACACTGGTGCGTGACTCCAGATTTGGGCCTTGGACCCTGAAAGGGTTAAGGGGGGTGACTGGGCCAACGCAGATTCATACACGTTTTCTTTGGTGTTGGACCAGAGAAAACATAATGTTTTCCCTCCACCCAACTACCACCCCTCCTATGTAATACGTTTCTTATATAATTTTGAAGAAAATATCCTAGATGGATTAATGAAAATGTTTATATTAACGTAAAATAAAACATTTAATGTGCCCAAGAGTGAACATTATTACGTACAATGGACCCTCGGTTTTCACGTTTAATCTGTTCCAGGGCGATCGGCAAAAACGGAAACCGTTTTCCCCATAAAAAATAATGTAAATCAATTAATCCGTTCTAGACACCCAGAAGTATTAACAAAAAAATTTTTTTTACCTTAAAGATAGATTTCTTCTTTCTTTCAACAAACCGGCCGTATCCCACCAAGGCAGGGTGGCCCTAAAGGGAAAACAAAAGTTTATCCTTTTACATTTAGTAATATATACAGGAGAAGAGGTTACTAGCCCCTTGCTCCCTACATTTTAGTAGCCTCTTAGAACACGCATGGCTTACGGAGGAAGAATTCTGTTCCACTGCCCCATGGAGATAAGAGGAAATAAACAAGAATAAGAACTAGAAAGAAAATAGAAGAAAACCCAGAGGGGAGTGTATATATGTGAGATATAAGCGACTATTGGCAGAAAGGTGGGCTAGTGCAGAGATGAGTAGTGGGGGGGGCATTGAAGAGGGTTGGAATAGTTTTAAAAATGCAGTATTAGAATGTGGGGCAGAAGTTTGTGGTTATAGGAGGGTGGGGGCAGGAGGAAAGAGGAGTGATTGGTGGAATGATGAAGTAAAGGGTGTGATAAAAGAGAAAAAGGTAGCTTATGAGAGGTTTTTACAAAGCAGAAGTGTTATAAGAAGAGCAGAGTATATGGAGAGTAAAAGAAAGGTAAAGAGAGTGGTGAGAGAGTGCAAAAGGAGAGCAGATGATAGAGTGGGAGAGGCACTGTCAAGAAATTTTAATGAAAATAAGAAAAAAATTTGGAGTGAGTTAAACAAGTTAAGAAAGCCTAGGGAAAGTATGGATTTGTCAGTTAAAAACAGAGTAGGGGAGTTAGTAGATGGGGAGATGGAGGTATTAGGTAGATGGCGAGAATATTTTGAGGAACTTTTAAATGTTAAGGAAGAAAGAGAGGCAGTAATTTCATGCACTGGTCAGGGAGGTATACCATCTTTTAGGAGTGAAGAAGAGCAGAATGTAAGTGTGGGGGAGGTACGTGAGGCATTACGTAGAATGAAAGGGGGTAAAGCAGCTGGAACTGATGGGATCATGACAGAAATATTAAAATCAGGGGGGGATATAGTGTTGGAGTGGTTGGTACTTTTGTTTAATAAATGTATGAAAGAGGGGAAGGTACCTAGGGATTGGCGGAGAGCATGTATAGTCCCTTTATATAAAGGGAAAGGGGACAAAAGAAACTGTAAAAATTATAGAGGAATAAGTTTACCGAGTATACCAGGAAAAGTGTACGGTAGGGTTATAATTGAAAGAATTAGAGGTAAGACAGAATGTAGGATTGCGGATGAGCAAGGAGGTTTCAGATGGGTAGGGATGTGTAGATCAAGTGTTTACATTGAAGCATATATGTGAACAGTATTTAGATAAAGGTTGGGAAGTTTTTATTGCATTTATGGATTTAGAAAAGGCATATGATAGAGTGGATAGAGGAGCAATGTGGCAGATGTTGCAAGTATATGGAATAGGTGGTAAGTTATTAAATGCTGTAAAGAGTTTTTATGAGGATAGTGAGGTTCAGGTTAGGGTGTGTAGAAGAGAGGGAGACTACTTCCCGGTAAAAAGTAGGTCTTAGACAGGGATGTGTAATGTCACCATGGTTGTTTAATATTTTTATAGATGGGGTTGTAAAGGAAGTAAATGCTAGGGTGTTCGGGAGAGGGGTGGGATTAAATTTTGGGGAATCAAATTCAAAATGGGAATTGACACAGTTACTTTTTGCTGATGATACTGTGCTTATGGGAGATTCTAAAGAAAAATTGCAAAGGTTAGTGGATGAGTTTGGGAATGTGTGTAAAGGTAGAAAGTTGAAAGTGAACATAGAAAAGAGTAAGGTGATGAGGGTATCAAATGATTTAGATAAAGAAAAATTG